TCTCGGCTCGCAGCTGGGTCACCAAAGCCTTTGTAGCCTCGAGCTCCTCTGTCTTCTAGTCGAGATCTTTGGTCTTATCCTGGCTAAAGCCTCTATGTTGGAGTGAGGGGAAACAGTCTCTTCCACTATAGAAGGATGAATAGAGGTGAGAAGCTACAAAGAAAAAATATATACGAAGTTAATGATAATGGCCTCGATAGGACAAATGAAAATAAAAGAATGTTACCCTCGATATGGTACTTGCAGCGTAGCAGGATCGGTCATACGAGTTGACCTCGAGACGAGTACTGTCAGCCTTGGGGAGAGCAGAGAGAAGGTAGCTCGCGACCTCGTGAGCATCCTTATTGTTAGGGAGTTGAGAAGGTTGCCCCAAGGTGACCAGGCGAACTTTGATAGGAGAGGGAGGAAAAAGAGAGGAAGATTAAGCAGTCTGCTTGCCCCTGGTACATTTGGGCTCGTTGGGCACTAGCTTGAAGTCCGGCTAATCAGAAGCTCGTTTGCACGAGTGAGAGCCAGAGGGGTTCGATTTCTTGGTGGTGCGGGGACTCTTGGTTGCCATATCCTGAGCAGTGGTCTTCTCGACCATGACTTCTTTTGAACCCGAGCCAGAATTTCCCTCGGGTTTATCTTGTTGCAAAGGCGCGAGGCGACTTGCAGACCTGCCATCAAGTTTCTTCTGTTTTTTGGTCTCACACTTTTGAAGGTAGGAATCAGCGAAAAGAGACAATTAGTATAGACTAAAAAGGAAGATCCCAAAGTATCAAGAAAAGGACGACTTATTGAGATAGTTAGTATAGACCAAATGAAGCAAGACAACGCTCTCCTTGGTAATACCACATTGATGGCGTAAAGTAAGATCATTGACCATTTGACGAGCACTCCAAGTGTGATTTAATTTTTGAACCATTTCCACGAATCGAGCAGATCGCAGTTTATTATGTTGGTTAACTTTCTCCGTTAACTAGGTGTTAGTAAAAGAATAATACCCAAAGGGAGGCCGAATAAAGAAATACTTCGACTTCCATTCTATTACATTCGAAGCCAAATAGTCCAAAAATAGAGCACCACTACGAGGACCTAAGCAGTGGGCCCCTTTTATGAACTTATAACCATAACAGTAAAAGAAGAAATCGAGTGAGAAGTCGTGAAGTTTTATTTTCGATATCATGATAAAGGCTAACATGATACGAATAGAATTGGGAGCGAATTGGTTGGGAGCATTTTACAAGTAGCTAAGGGTAAGCAGCTTGGGTTGAATGGGAAAGCGAAGGCCAAACATGACCTGATCCATAAGATAGGTATAACAACCGCGAGGAGGGTGACCGTAATCGTCATTGGGACCACAGCGATGAAATCCCAATCAGAGGGAAATCCGCAGTAGGATCTAAAGCCCACGAGCTCGGCTGCAGGGGCATAAGAAAAGGAATTTAGAGTGGTTGTTTTAGCTAAAGGACATGCATTTGTTACAACAGGTGTACGCAGGTCGAGAAGGGGAGTAATTATTGGTACATGAATTGGACTTGTCATATACACATGAATATCTATAAACTTAAGGGATATACCTCGAGGAATGATCTCAAATGGAGGGGAACTTCCTGGGGAGCTCGACCTCAATGCACGATTGTAGTCTTCCCAGTCAACCACTCCAGTGATATCATTATCCGAATCACGACAAGGAATTCCCTGATCACGAGCAGGCTCGAAGCATATTATTTGAACAGAAGAATCGGAGGATTAAAAGGCACCATCAACCAAATGGCTACCTGAGTCAGGAGAGGAAAGGGCATTTTAACTGCATTATTTAGCCAAAAAAGCGTGATCAAGTCAAAGTCGCGACAAATAAACCAAATATTAAGCATATTCTACACCTATCTGAGTCGACTTGTGAGAATTATCAAAGAGAACCGTTTTAAAGAATTACATCTAGAGAGGATGACTGCCTAAGTCGACTCAAAAGAAACATCATCGCCTAAAGAACTAGGGTTCATAGGATCAAAACACATTTTTAACAAATTCAAACCGATCAGCGAAAAACAGTTACTAAGAATAGTTTTAAGATCACTGAATATCAAAACATCTAAAAACACCAGAAAACGCATGAGGATCATAAAGAACATGAAGAATACTCATACCACATTCAAAATTAAAAACTCAGAAATATGATAAAATGGAATGAATTAAAAAGGATGAACTTACTCAAGGTGAATCGCCGGAAAAGGATTTGAGAACTGAAGAAAGCGTGCTGGAACTGGAAAAAACACCAGAAGTATGAAGAGAAGAACAATCTCTGGAGAACTCAAAGAGTACAGAGGGAGAAAAAGTGATCACCCTAGGGACAAAGCAGTATTTATAATTGGCTTACGAATTATGGACCCTTAGATCAAGAGGAATCTAACTGTTTAGATCTGGCACAGGAATCGAAGAGGTGGAATATGGAACAACGCAAACGTCCTTTCAACTCAGCATTGATGACTGTCAGTGTGTAAAAAACGTAGCCGTGGATTTTACTCCTAAGCTCGAGATCGCTTGGAGTAAATTTGAGGGGTGGGGGAGGGGGGAGAGACTAGATAATATAACCATACTGACGTAGACCCGACTAAATGTGGGGAGATCGACCAGATTATAAGTCGACTAGGGTAGGTCGAAATGAGACAAATATTTTAGGGGTATGATGGAGGCCCTAATGAGAGTCGAAAGGCCTATAATATCTCGATAATGACTATGCACAATTCGAAGAGCCTCAAATATCGACGTCGACCTGGAGAATGACGATCTGGGTTGCCTCGCGACTCAGGATAGGTTCTCACTGAAGATCGAGGCCCTAGATTAAATGGGCTGAATGATAAGGATGAATCTCAAATGGATAAGAAAAAATCTTAAGATGACTAGGATATGACTAAAATGTGATTAGGATATGGATAAGTACTGAAATACGGGGAGCCGGGCAGGCAGCCCGCGGGCACTCGAGCAGGACATTTCGGGCATGTATTTCCCCTATAAAAGGGTCTAAGTTATCACCAAATCCTAACTTTATATTCTTCATACAATACACTACTCTCATCATCTTTCTGATACTGACTTAAGCATCGGAGGCTCTTCGCCAGAAACTCCTCCGGCATTGAGTTCTGCAGGTTATCCCTGGCGGTTCAGGCGGATTGGAGCTCATTTCGACCGGTTCAATCTAGATCTAGATGAGGGCTCAACACCTAACAAGTAGCATTATTATCTAGTGCTAAGTGAAATTGCGAGTAAACCTATTCAATTGCAAGTGCATATATGTAAAATCATTTCGACAACTAATTTTCTGATTAAATCTTGAGCATAGATTTATAAGTCGAAACTCAATTATTTAATTACTATGATTCTATTTCAAGTTTAGTTATTCCTTTATGAATCCATATGCATCCCGCCTTTAGCCAAGGTCTTTGAATCACAAACTATGAGAAGCATAGGAAATTCACTTATCCACATAAGTGTCGAATTCTATGTTAGCCACAGATAAATCTCTATACACATTGATACAGTACCCAAAATATCCTTTACATAATTGTCCAACAATCAAAGGATAAATCAAGCTAAAGCACACATGCACAAGATTACTATCGTGCCTCAAGTCAGGATCAGTCATGTACTATTGCAACATGAAAATTTTTGTTCGACAGTTAAAAGCTTCCAGCTAAGAATTTTCATCTGGCCATGTTCGGAGAACTTGGTCCCCAACAAGAATCCGCATATATGCATTTGCGTCCACACGCTAATATTGATGAAATGCAACATCCTCGTCTGATTAGCATGCATCATATGCACAAATAGGGTTATTCAATATCTTGTCTCGAAACACCCATTGACTTAGAACTTAAATAAGATCACAGCTTTAAAGACATGTTCTATGGTTGCCATCAAATGCGCAACCATGCCTCATAGCTAATAATGATCTAAGAACTTTATCATATGTGCAAATATGTGTTAAAAGCAAAGACATGAGATAAAGAAATGCCTTAAAATAATATAATTTCCAATAAATTGTCTTTACAAGTAGAAAAAAAATATCCAATCAGATTGAAACCTCGAGTATTCTACTCTAACAAAAAACACTCTGACGCTCAAATTAAAAGATGCTTGAGGGAGTAGTGTAGAATGTATTTGGCATGTATTTCATAGGTTAAGTGAAAGAACCTGTTTAAACTTATGTACCTAGGGTAGCTTGTCCTCCAAGAGAGTTCTAGTTAGAAAATAGATCCTTTCTTATCTTTCTTTCTAACTCGCCAGACATCTAGAATCGTTAGACTCCTAAGAAAGATACATTTTCCATCCAGGAAGGACTCTTTCGCCTCTAACCGTACAACTCTCAGCTCTCCAGGTGGTACAAACGACCTTCTCACCTACCTGTTGTAGTCTGTACCGCAACCACGACCTTCACTTTCAGGACCTATAGGCCATGAGGTCTCATTTGGTATCCGAGCACCTTAGGTTCTCCGACATCCAAACTATCTGAACCGATTCGACCTATACCCTGAGCAACCTAAGTGAGCTCCCTATGCATCCAAACGGTCTGAGCTCCCGTGAACCGACCACGACCGAGCTACCCGCTCTTAGTTGATCCACCGAGCTATTCTGGGTGCTATATCAATATAAACAAAAACTTAAATTACATGGGCAGGGTTACAAAGCTAATGCAATGATCAAATCATATCGTCATGTTAGAGAAATAATAATAAATGGATTCACATCATGATGACCATAGTGATAGAATAATGTTAATAGAGTGCAACCGACTCAACATATCTGCTTAATTAATAATATTAATATTAATAATCTCTACCCATAATTCCCAATTATCCCGAGTCAATTTATACGCATATATTGGCACAAAGGAAAAGAGAGCCGGCAAGATGAAAAGAAACCAAAGGCAGCTTTATTTACACTTGCGGAGTCAATTACAAAAATCCATTCAAACTAACAAAAACAAGGCAAGAACATATAACCATTTCATTTATTGATCACAAGCCACCATCATAAGGAAAGGAGGTGGAGTCCAGCCACTCCTCCCCCGCAATAAACTCGGACACGGTGAAATTGTAAGCATCGTCGTAGTCCATGACGTGGTACCCGGCCCATGCCACGCGCCCATCCGTCCCTGAGCCCGGCCCGTAGTTTTCATACTCCCCATAGTAGAGCGTGTCCAGCCCCTGGTCCTCGACCCAATTGCTCCACCCTTGGGGATTGATAAAATCGTGTATGTACGACTCGAGGACCACCGTCCTTGAGTAGTTCCTCCAAGGCCGGCCCAGATAACTTTTGACCGTGCTCGACTTGGACTGCAAGTCGTCGGTGGGTAGAATGGAGCAGTTCTGGATGGAGATGCCGGTGGGCTCGTCAGGGGAGTCCCTGGACTGGGCCGTGACGACTGTGGCCTGGCCCGGGAGGGGGAGTCGGGAGATTATGTTGCAGGCCTGGAAGACGGCGGCCGCGTTCCCGAAGATGAAGTCGATCGTGCCGTAAATGTCGCACTCGCGGTAGAACTGACGGAAGGAGTGGACGTACAAGGTGTCCTGGTGGCCGGAGATGGTGCAACGGTAGACGGCCGACAGGTCCGCGTTTATGCGGAGGGCGGCAGCCTGGTGGTTGGTGGGGCCTGCCGTGTTCTCGAAGGTTATGTCGCGTGCGAGGAACCCCTGGCCCGAGACAGCTGCCACGGAATTTTGTATATAAATGATTACCGGATTCGCCAGAGGTAAGGCTAACTGATTGAAACTAACTTAATTACTCCCAACTCTCGCCATAAGTCAAATGTACTCAGTTATGGCATTATGTTTACCAAGTACACATACATACGAGAGTATAGAATGGTTGTTCTTTTACGAAATATGGAAAATTTTACTTCATTGAAAACAATTTGATATGCAGATTGGCATTAATATTGTGTGATTATACAAAATTTTAACACGATGTGATGTTTAAAGAGATAAGTTTTTTATACAAAAAAATCTATGGAATTATCGGATGGTTTTCTTATGGAATCATCCATGATCCACCATTTAATATATTGACATTTGTGTAAATTGTATTATCGTATGACACGTGTCAATACACTGTTGGTGAATAAGTGTTGATGTCTAAATAAGTCAGAGCCATATGATGGCTCCATAGCAAAACTGGTTTCTTATATCTGTTATGTCAAATTGTATATCAATTTTTTTTTTTTTTTTTAATGTTGATACAAGCTTAACTAACCAAATATAAAACAGAAAATTTGACCATATTCGAGCATTCTTTCATTTTTGCTTAAGAAAATTTCATAATTGAAATGCAATTTGTAAAATATAGAATTTTTTTTAAAAAAATAAAAGTAGATGGCTTTAGTGGTGCAAGTAAGGTGGTAATTTNGTGCATATTTACTGTTAACTACTACTCACAGTAAAGTATTATAAATTATATATATGCGTATAATATTAATTAAAATTATAATCTAAATTTATTGTTTAGATTTTAAAAATTTATTCATTATTACAACTAAAAAAGTATAAACTATTTAACCATGTATTAATTATTATATTGATTGCCTAAATAGTAATGAAGAATACAATTTTTATATTTGATGGATCATGAGCAATTAATTAACCGAAAAAATATTAAAATTATAATTACATCAACTGTTTATCCGTATTAAGCGATTTGAAAATATAAATAAAATCATTTAGCTTATTGAAAAAATTTCTTAATTTAATGAGATGAAAAAAAAAAGATAATATTGATTTTATAATAAATAATTAAAAAAAACTGCCACATGACTTTCAATACTTATGCAACTTCTGTATACCAATTATTATGAAAAAAAAATATAATGATTTATTATCATAATTAACCTTAAAAAAGAGCGAGAAAGTGAATTTTGTCATAATTTAGTTTTAGTTATTACCATAAGTAACCTTAACATATGATACAAGTTTCATTAGTTTTTAATTTAGTTATTTTAAATTGTATATATTCTTAGATAATATTTGTATTTTTACATCAGCTCAAAAATAAATTCTCAAATACATAAATATATAATAAAATTTGAAAAATATCAAATATAAAACAAAGAATAAAAATAAAGAAGAATGAACAAAAATAGATTGTAAAATTTCATATTAATCTTAATAGGAAATGTAACTTCCTCACTTTAGTAACAACATTGCAATCGTAAGCTTAGAAATTATTTAGTGTAAGGCATTTTGGCAATTCATTTTGTTCAAGAAGTAAGTCACATTAAAGAAGGCTATAGATAAATGTAGTTTATAATGTAAATAGGAACTAAAAAAATTCGCTCTTTCAAGAGTATGAGAATTGTAGTTTATACAGTATTTGAAAAAAGTTATTATCGATTTGAATAATACCGTTGCTTATTTTCGTAGAGAAGATCAAGGACTTTCAATTTAAAAAAAAAAATCATAAAAATCATATATTAATCATGAAGTTTGAGTATAAAATTTTACTTGTGTTTAATTTGATAGTTATGTTATTGTTGATATTCCTGATCTTAAAAGTATCTTTGACTTATTGAGTTTGACTTAATTCGTAAACATATATGCATGGATCATGTGGAGAAAATAATTAGAAAGATTCTTCTACGTTGAAAGGATAATGCAAAATCATTATCCATGTGTATTTTGCGAAAAACACCGTACAATATAAGGATGGATACACAATTATAGAAGAATGAGAGTATATTAATAAATACATTTATAAATTAGACATTATAACAATGAGTATCACCAAAAGTAGAGGTAAAAACTTAGTTGAAGAAATCAAAGAGTTTCAAGATGCGGTATCTACTAAAGAAGTAACACAATATCTTATGTTAAGCTAACGCTAGGTGACCAAGATTTAGTAGATTTGAGAACTCCAGGTAACATAACTTGCATTTTTTTTTTCAAAGAAGTAAAAAAAAAAAACAAAAAAAAACAAAAAAAAAAAGACTATCAAAATTTGTTTACAATATTTCTCGATGTTTAGATTAAGCAGTCACTTTAAAAAGTGCCAAATGAATAAAGAAGAATATTTGCAATACTATTGGTGGGTGGGTTGTGCTCGGAGGGTTATGAAATACTTTAGAATACATACTCTTATACGATGTCGGAAGATTCTAGAAAATAATCCAAATGCGTAAGAAATAAGTACATTCTACCAAAACCATAAATAAATGTATCATGATATTCGCAACAATAGATCAAATAATGTGATAACATTTACAGTCACATTGTTTAGATCTATTGTTGCGATTATGCCGGGTGGGCGAATGACCATTCGCGTATGGTAATTCGAACCTAAGTTATTTGATATAAAAAATTAATAACTTTTATTGAAGTCATATTACAAAGCATAATATTTTGCCATATAAGATTACGAAGCGTACGAAACTGTTATTTAGGCTCAGCGCGTTCTGAAATTATATATAATGGGAATACGATGGAAAATCAAAGTTTTAATTGAAAAGTTAACATTTGTTTTAGGATTTTTGTTTTCAAGTTTTACTCGTATTCAATTCCAACAAACTATTTCTATAGGTATTGTTAAGTCACGTGTGACCAGGAATGAAGAAAATTTTGTTGTTGATAGGCATGAGATCAAGAATCGATGTAACTATTTTATGATCACAATAAAATTGTTAATCAATAAATTATTATTTATATTTATATTTATATAATGGACAATTATCTAAATGTTCATTAGTACAAATGATTAAATTATTAACATTCATATTAATCTTCTTTAAATTTATGTGTTAAAATTTAAATGCAGATAACTAGTACAATGAATATATATATAGGGATTGGTTCCAATGCATCCATTTATTTAAATTTTAAAGTGAGGACGTGAGACTCATTTTTAGCCAGAAAATTTGGTATATCATGTGTGGCCAAGATTTACTCTTTTCTTTTTATTATTTTAATTATTTAAATATTATTTTGACCTGTTGACTCCGGCGTTGACCGTTGACTTCCGACGAAATCCGTTGGCTTCCGGCGTTGACCGTTGACAACTAACCTTCCAACTAGGTTGGTTCTATGTAGTTGCTAGGCTAGTTCTTTGTAGTTGCTAGGATAGTTGTCTGTAGTTGCTAGGTTAGTTCTTTGTAGTTGCTAGGTTAGTTCTCTCTAGTTGCTAGGTTAGTTCTCTGTAGTTGTTAGGTTAGTAGTTGCTAGGTTAGTTCTCTGTAGTTGCTATGTTAGTTCTCTGTAGTTGCTAAGTTAGTTTTTTGAGTTGCTAGATTAGTTCTCTGTAGTTGCTAAGTTAGTTCTCTGTAGTTGCTAGGTTAGTTCTCTGTAGTTGCTAAGTCAGTAGTTGCTAGGTTGGTTCTCTGTAGTTGCTAAGTAAGTAGTAGCTAGGTTAGTTCTCTGTAGTTGCTAGGTTAGTAATAGCTAGGTTAGTTCTCTGTAGTTGCTAGATTAGTTGTCTGTAGTTGCTATGAGCTGTCTGTATTTTAAGAGCTGAGCGCATTTTAAGAGCTGGACGCATTTTAAGAGTTGACCGCATTTGATCCGCTCCATATATATATATAAGGGATCATATGAGAATCGTAGATAGTGAAAGAAATAAGAATAATTTTGGACCATTAGATCCTCTAAACCAATGGTCATGATTAATTCAAAATTTAATAAATAATGGTTAAAAATGAGTGGCAGTATGGTAAATAAGTATATAAATTATGGTCAAATATATGATTTTTACCACTCATTAAGGGTAAAGTAGTCATTATACATTCATTAAATAACCACCATTAATAGTGGGTCCCACCACTAACCTCTTCCCTCTCCAATCTCTCACACACACAAATACACACACAAGATCTGGTTTTATTCACGAACACACATAGTTCACACACAAACACAAACACACACGCCAGGCAATACTTAGCCACCATCTTCGCCGGCCGTCGTCCCACCACCGCCAATCGCCGCCGCCGCAGACTTACCTTCTCTACAGAAGTCCGTCGTCAACAGCCGCGCGTCCACCGAGCCCAACCCATCTCAGCCGTCGACGACCACCGTGTCCAGAAGTCCGACCATATCCGTCAGAGGGTGAACTGCAGACGGAGCTGAATCGATGCGGCGGCGGACGATGACGATACGACGCGGCAGACGGTGGCGCTGCGAGGCGGCAGCTGACAGAGACGAAGATATGTGTTTGTGGACGGAGGCGAGGCGTCGAGCCGGATTACACAGTTATGAGGCGGCGGACGAAGACGAGTAATTGCGTCGGCTACGAGGAGACGGATAGTGGCGATAGCGACGGCAGTCCGGCGACGGCGTCGTGTTGTGTGTGAGTCGAGGCCAGTGGTGTGGTGACTGTCCGAGATGGTCGGAAGAACAAATTTTCAGGATTGAGGAGAATCTTCCAAATTTTGAAGAAAAAAAAAAAGTGTTCACGGGATTGGTGCGTGTGAGTTTGGGCTTTTCTTATGAAAATTAGATTAACTATAGGACCAATTTGTAATTTTTAAAACTTTAATTATAAAGCAATATAATTAGTGATTAATTATATAAATTAGTAATAAAACTAATATATATGGAATATTGATAAATAATGTTAACAATAAATGTATGGTTATTCAATTTAATTTTTCATAAAATTTATTATTAGTATTTAGTATTTTGTTAATTGATTTTTATATTATTGTTTGATTAAAAAAATTAGTATATACGTAAACAAAATATACTATGCAATCTAACAAATATTAAGGTTCAATTCGTCCAACACTACGGTGCACGATGTCGGTATGTATTGTGCATATTGAACCAGTCAAATTCTTGTCCCAAGTCAAATTGAAAATATGAGAATGGAGGGTATGAGAATGGAGGGCTCTGACAGAAACTGGAGTGAATGGGGTGCACTGAAGGCTGAGTTGGATAGTGCCCACCAAGAAGAGGAGCAATACTGGAGGTTGAAATCTAAAGCTTTGTGGTTGAGAGCTGGTGACAGAAACACTCGATACTTACATGCTCATACTACTCAAAGGAGAAGAAGGAACATTATTTCTAAACTGACAACCAGCTTTGGACATATCTGTGACACTCAGGATTCTATGGCAGCTCACATTACTGGTTTCTATTCTACTTTATTCACATCTGGTGGATCCAGAAGAGGTGTTGAACTGCTGCAACAAATTCCATGTTCCATATCTGATGCCATGAACAATGATCTTATCAAACCTGTTTAAGAAGAAGAAGTTAAAGCTGACCTCTTTGCTATGGCTTCTGAAAAAGCTCCAAGGGATGATGTTATGTCAGCTCTTTTTTCCAGCATTTTTGGAACATTCTGAAATCTGATCTTTGTAGAGCTATCAAGAGTTTTTTCATCACTGGCCATCTTCTGAAAAACTGGAAGCATACCATTATTACACTGATTCCCAAGTGTTTATATCCTGAAAATCTGACCAATTACAGACCTATTAGTCTGTGTGGAGTCCTTTATAAAATTATGGTAAAGATGTTGGCTGAGAGGTTAAAACCTTGTTTAGATGCATGCATTAGTCAGGCCCAAACTGCTTTTGTGCCAGGAGACATTTAATTGACAATGTTGTGATTGCCCATGAGGTCTTCCATTTCTTGCATAGAAACAGGTATGGTTCAAATGTTTTCATGGCTGTGAAATTAGACATGGAAAAAGCTTATGATAGGGTGGAATGGGAGAGCATCAGAAAGACTATGTTAAAGATGGGTTTTCATGTTAAATTTGTGCAGTGGATTTACAGTTGTATTTCTAATCCTACCTTCTCTTTCAATCTTAATAGCTCAGTGTGTGGATTTGTCACTTCCTCTAGGGGTATTAGACAGGGTGATCCACTATCACCCTATCTATTTATCTTTGTATTTGAATTGTTTTCATGCTATCTGCACCATAAAATCAATGTTGGTCAGTTCAGGGGGATTAGGATATCTCAGAATGGTCCTATGTTGTCTCACTTGCTATTTACTGATGATGCCTTGGTATTTTGTAACGCCGATGAAGAGCACAGTACTCTTTTGCTGGAAATCTTGCAAAAATACTAGGACTTTACTGGTCAGAAAGTGAATCTGCACAAATCCTCTATGTTTTTTAGTAAGAATTGCTCTGATAGGTTCAAACACAGGATCTGCTCCTTGCTGCAGGGTGTGGTTGTGAAAAGGTCTTCCAAATATCTGGGTTTACCTTTAGGGATTGGGGCTTCCAAGATTGAAACTTTTCAATTTGTGGTTGAGGCTGTTAGAGATAGAATTGTCAGTTGGAAGAATAATTTCCTATCCACAGCTGGAAGGGAGATTCTTATTAAAGCAGTGTTAAATGCACTTCTTATTTTTGTGATGTCTTGCTTTCTCTTACATGTCAATGTTTGTAAGGAGGTGTGCAGGTTACTTGAAAAGTTTTGGTGGGATAAGGGTAATAACCAATCAACAAGTATGCACTGGCTAGCTTGGGAAAAGATGACCTTGCCTAAATGTGAGGACGGGCTGGGGTTCCAGAATATCAAACTCTTTATAGAGCACTCATATTGAAGCTACTGTGGAGGATTTTTTAGCAACCGGATTTGCTAATGAGCAAAGTGCTGAAATGTAAGTACTTCCCTAAGTGCTCTATTTTTTATTGCCAAAAGACTAGTGGTGCTTCTTGGTTGTGGAAATCTTGGGCTACATTACTTCATGTATTGCAAAGACAAGTGAATATTGTTATCAGAAATGGTGCTAATACTTCGATTAATGAATGCTCTTGGGTGCCTGGCTTAAATGGGAGTGCTCCCATGTTGAAAACAAATATAAATGGCAGTATGTTCTGGGTGAAAGATTTGCTTATTGTTGGTGGTATTCAGTGGGATACAAACTTGATAAGAGCCATATTTGCAGAGAAAGATGCTTCTTTGATTTTGCAGATAAAATCTTTGAATCCACAAAAAGCAGACCAATGGAACTGCTCATTTCTGAGCAAGGACAAATTTTCAGTGAAGAAAGCTTACAGTTGGCTGCTTGATAAAGAAGCAAATATGAGGAATGGGGCAGAATGTAGTAGGCTGGCTGGGGGAAACAAAAAAGCTAGACAGAGGTGTTGGTCTCTGAAGGTGATGGGAAAGGTGAAGCACTTCATCTAGAAGTGTTTCACTAATATCTTACCTGTCAGTACTAATCTGGAAAGAAGAGTCTTAAAGTTGACACTGTGTGCAGAATTTGTGGGGAAGGTGAGGAGACTTAAGAGCATGTTTTATTCCTGTGCAGGAGAGCCAAACTAACTTGGGAACTTGCCCCAGTGGAATGGAACAGAGTGCAGCAGGAAAATATGAGCTTCAAAGAATGGTGGTGGTGGATCTGTACAATGAATTTCAAAGACACTTCTGAAGAAAGGATTCAACTTTCCACATACATATTGTGGTGGCTTTAGAGGGCAAGAAACCTTTGGGTGTTTGAAAGTCAATGGCAACAGGAAAGGTGGATCTTAGAAGCAGCTATGAGGGACTGGCTAGACTTCAATGTAGCAATCTGAAGTACTTCAGAGGGATTTGACAATAGGCTAGGTCTAGTGTCAGTGGTCTATGTGTTTGATCCTTTTCTTGTATAGTTCATTATTATAGTTGTTAGGTTGATGTGTTCTAGTATCATGTTTGTACTGGTCTCATATATATGGTCTATGGTTGTTATTTGGACTAGTTTTGGTTAGACAGCTTGGTTAGCTAGGCCTCTCAGTTACCCAGGATTAGGGGATTCCTCTTTGTACATTTCTGTTTTCATTTTAATGGAGATCTTATGTCGTTGGAAAAAAATAAAAAATAAAAAAGAAAAAAAAAAGTCAAATTGAAAATGAACATAGTTAATTAGTTAATTCGGTTCGGTTAGCCGAATGAATAAATAATTGAAATAACTTGTTATTTATACTAAAACCATATTTATTATGTTAACAAATTTATTTATTAATTTTATATTATTTGTTTCAAAAAAATGAGTTTTGTCGGTTTTGATATCTATGTTGCAATCGGATAAACGTGATAAAGTGCAACAAGTTAGTTTATAAAGTGCAATATATAAAGTGCAATGTATTGATGTGTAAAGTGTCTATTTTGCAATCTGATAATCGTGATAAAGTGCAACAAGTTACTTTATAAAGTGCAACGTTTGTTATATAAAGTGCGATATATTGATGTGTAAAGTAAATTACTGTTAATTTTGGTATGTTAGCATACTTTGTTTGTGTGGATAAATGATATGATTGATTTTAAAATATTATGTATGGCGGGAGAGGTCGACGTTAATTGTTGAGTGTAGTGACAAAGTGCAACTCGTTGTCTTGTACAGTGCAACGTGTTGTGGCATAAAGTGCACTGTAATGATATATAAAGTGCAATTTTATATGAGCACATATAATTTTTTTATTTTTGAAAATTATATTTGGTAGATATAATTATACATGGAATTAACCTAAATGATTTAAATAATTTATTATTTATTAATATAAAAGTATATTTATTATTTTTTTTATATATTAAAATTTTAAATAATGTACAATTTATTTATCATTAATATGAATTTGCGATAATATTGCTATAAAATACATATATGGTCATGAACTAAATTAAAAAATAATTAAAATTAATAAAATTGCAAAATTATCTCAAAAAAATAATATTGCTATAAAAGACATTTCTTATAACCATAGTGTGCATTGATTTCGTTTATATTGTGCAGCCTGAATTGATCAAACTCTTGTCTCAAACAAAATTAAAATTGAATCGAATAACCAAAACAACTAAAATAAAGTAATATTTATATTATATAAAATATACTTAGTATTTTTAATATATTTTATTTATATTATTTTTTTTTTTTGCTGAACTTAAATAATATTTTTATATAAAAAATATAATTCCGACATCGAAACTAAATAATAATTCAAAATAATATTAAATAATGTAATCGAAACATATAAATTCGAACAAAAAAAAATTATTTATGTTCTATGAGTATTTTTTTTTCCTTTTGTGCAATTCAAAACATTGTAAAACGGACTACATGACGCACTAGAATTCTTAGTCTTCTTTCTCCCTGTTTTCTGCTGCAACATGCAATTCAAAACATTATTTTTTACAATTCAATTAACATAATTGTGTGATTATTAAAGTTTGGACAAATTAGAAAATTGACCCATGCAATAATTGAAATTTATTAAAAGTTACGAAATTGCAATTGGGTCCCTATGGATTATCTAGTTCTCAAACAATGATCCAACCCAACTCTAATGTTCTCTGATTTCCAGACTTGAACGACATCTCACCGCTCGCCTGTATCGTCCACCGAATGCTGCCGGCG